ACTACAGGCCAAGCACTGTGATAACCAGAAAAGCAAGACAGCCCCTGTTTTCATTTTAAATGGAAATTACACCTAAAAGAAAATTCATCTACAGGATAGAGAGAAAGGCACAGGAATCCTAAGGATGCAGTGGAGGGGGCAGATGGCAAAGCCCGGGGGTCCTTAGGGGTTACCGCAGGTCGGACAACAGTGCCAGGAAATAGATGTAGGGCAGATGGTGAGACCTGGGGATCCTCCATATCACTGCAAAGACTAGAACTGGTGATTTCCCACCTCATCCAAACCCTGTGAATAGAGGGCCGGGGTGGGGTGGGGTGGAGGGGGGGGCGCATGGAAGGAGGCAGGGGAAGGCAGTGATGGCTGGGATTCCCACCAGGCCTTCCTGTACGGGCTCTGGGAAAACCGGTGGGGGTGGAGGAAAGGCAAGAGAAGAAAGGCCCACCCATGCTAGCAGGTCTTCCAGTCTCTCACTAGCCCCAGGTTAGAAAACGAGGGTATATAAAATAACAAGGGACAACAATACTCATCTTTGCCTTTTAAATATACAAAATGCTTTCCTCACAAAAACCCTGCAATGCAGATAGCACAAACACCATCATCCTACATTACAGAGAAGGAAACTAGAGGGTCCATAGAGCTGAAACAATTTGTACAAGGCCACAGAGCTAGTATGTGGCAGAAGCAGGATTTAAATTCAAATATTCTCACACTCAGTCCAATAGTTCTTTCTACAGTATGCTGTTGTTTCAGTCGGTTAATCATGTCCAACTCTTCATGACCCCATTTGGGGTTTTCTTGGCAAAGACACTGCAGTGGTTTGCCATTTCCTTCTCCAGCTTATTTTACAGATGAGGAAACTGAGGCAAACAGGGTTAAGTGACTTGAGCTGGGTCATGCAGCTATTAAGTGTCTGAGGCCACATTTGAACGTGGGTCCTCCTGACTCCACTGGAGGTCCTCAAGCACAGACTGGATTACCACTTCTTAAGGAACTTCTTAAGGAGATTGCTATTTAAGGTAAAGGTTGGACTCGAACCTTTCAAGTCCCTTCAGAGTCTAGGGTCAAATATGTTAGCTGTCCCTCCTAGATCTAGTGAAAATGATTCACATGCCAACCATATACCCCTTCTTCAAATTTCCAAGGTCCCCACAGGCTCTAACATGCTCCCTTCTGTGTTCTAACAGGCTCCATTGTGAGGTCCCTCCTGGCTCTATGTTCCACCATCCTATGTCCTTTTTTCCTAACATTTAATAGGCTAGAACCCTTTCCTACCGACATCTCCACATCATCATGCAGCTCCTTCCAGGTTTGATATTCTGTGAATCTGTGAAGATGTTTATTTCTTTCTTTCTATGTGAATTTCACTTAGCCAACCTATACCCACCTGCTGCCAACGTAGATCCAAAAGGTTCTAAAGCCAAAACGACCCCTGGCACCCACTCTAACTGGCTGTCAGCCTTTTCTAAGCTGCATGCCAGAGTGGTAGCTAATCTTTGTTTTAATTGGCCGAGCTTCTGACTGTGCACGTGTGCATATACACGCGAGCAAGTGAGCTGTCTCGCTCTCGCTCTCTCTCTCTCTCATGCACGCGCACGCGTGCGTGCACACACACACACACACACACACACACACACACACACACAATCCCAGTATTTATATTTATACAACTTCCACTGGATTGTAACTGCTCCCTGGGGCCTTATGGCACAAGGTACATGCTTTAAAATGTTGAACAAGAAAGGGAAGGGAGTCAGCACAGAGCGGGGGAAACATCCCTGGGAGGGCAGTAACCTTCATTTTCACATAGGTTCTGACTTGCTGGGTGACTCTAGGAAGGTCCATTCCCTTTTCTTGGCCTCCACTATTTTCATTAAAATGAGGGGAATCATTCTTGCCTTAAGCACCTCACAAGAGTATGGAGATTCAAGGAGATAATAAAAATACTACAAAAAATGCAAGAGGTTATGATTTGTAGAAATAATATAGGAAGAGAACAGTATCGTCTAAGTCCTGAGGAAATCAAGTGCCAGCTAGGACCAATATTCTTCAGAAGCAATTTGGCTCCACTACTACTAGTATTGTCACTACTATAACAACAACTACTAGTACAACTACTGTTAATACTACTACAACCACTACTACTAAATCTATTACTACTACTATTTACTACAACTACTGTTACTACTGCTATGACTATTACTACTACAACTACTAGTACTGCCACCACCACCACCACCACCACTACTACTATTGCTATGACTATTACTACTACGACTATGGCTATTACTACAACTACCATTACTACTACCACCACTACTGCTACAACCATGACTACTGCAGGTACTCCTACAACCACTACTTCTACAACTACCACGGCTGCTGCTGCTACTACTCCAACTATTACTACTATAATTATTATTACTACTATATATTATATTATGACAACTACCACCACCACTATAACTACAACTATGTTACTAGTACTACTACTATGACTACAATTACTACCAGTACTAACTACCTCCAATACAACTACTACTTCTATAACTGTGACTACTACTACTAGTCACTACTACTACTATTATGGCTATGATTATGACTACAACTACCACTACTAGTGCTACTCTCAGTAGTTTTTAAAAGAAGAACTAAGTTCTCTATAGCACTTCAAAGTTTATAAACACTTTAACCCATATTATCTTATTTGATTCTCACAGCAGCCCTGGGAGATTAATGCTGCTATTATCTGCATTTTACAGATGAGGAAACTGAGGCTAAGAAAGGCTGACTTGCCTAGGGTTACACAGCTACTAAGTATGTGAGGAGAAATCTGAACTTTGGTGCATCTTGTTCCAAGTTCTCCCCTCTATCCACTACACCAGCACTTCTTAAATTGAAAGTCACGACCTCATAAAGGTTGTGAAAAGGTTTCTGAACAGGCAACAACCAAAAATTAATTAAAAATCAAACACGTGATGAATCTGAGGTGTTTCTGACAGCGTTTGTCCGTGTTGCATCGAGCAGCTTCCCTGCAGCCTTGGTTCCGAACACACAGCATGCACACTTTGCACTGAGCATGCCATCACACCACGCAACGCCAATGGACACTGCCGAAATGTGAAAAGGGGTTGTGAATGGGAAAAGTTTAAGCCCTTCACTACACCATCTACCTCCCTCTGCTATACAGGTCAGATGTACGATTTGAACCCAGGGCTCTGCTGACTCCAGGCCTGTGTCTTTTCCATTTGTACCACTTTTTAGTCCCAGAAGGAAAAACAAAGAACAAATAGGGTGCAAATTAAAAGGAGACAGATTTTAGTTCAAAAAAAATGTTCTTAAAATGATCCTTCCCACAATAGAACAAGCTGCCTGGGAGGATAGATAGCACCCTCTCTGAGCAGAAGCCTTCTGAGTACTGGTCTGCAGAAGAGAGTCCTACAAGGGGCGGCAGGTTAGACTCTTATTTTCCCATTTTAAGATTTTTATGATTCTAATCATCACAGCTCACATCGCTACAACAGCTTCCCTTTCTAGAAGCCCTTTCCTTCCAACAACCCTGTGTGGTAGGTACAGCTAGGTCCAGATTAGTGAGAATAAATTAATCCCCTAAAGTGATTGCATGTATGCTAATTTGCCCTATTCTAAGTGATAATTGTGTAAAATATGGTTCCACCCCAGTGGAAATGAGCCAAGCAAATTCAAATCACGTGACTATTACAGAGGATTCTTCATGAGCACCAAATGGGAACTGGTTATAATGTGGGTAGCAGCACCCACATTTGCAAAGAATTTCAAAGTTGGGGCCATACTCCCCCCTCCCCCGAAAAAGAACCTCATCTATAACATCCTAGACACACAGTCATCTAGCTTCTGCTAGAAGACCTGCACCATGGCAGAACCCATCACCCTGGGAGGTAGCCCAATTCCACTTCAGGTTCTCTCTAAGTATTGAGAAGTGTTTTTCTGACCAGCAGCCTCAATTTGCTTCTTTGAGATTTGTACCCATTCCTCCTGGTTCTCAGACAGTCTGATCTGTCTTCTTCCTGATAGCCCATCAAATAGGTGAAGATAGTGTCATCACATCCTCACCTCCAACCCCCAAAGATGGCTCTTCTTGGCTCTTCTTCAAGCTTCGTTTTTACAGATGAAGAAACCAAGGGTCAGCGCATAGATGATCCGGCCAAGGGGACACAGCTAGTACTATATATTTCAGGACCAGGGCTGTGTCCCAGGGTTCTGAATCAAGCCCAGCCTCCTTCTGGCTAGCTCAGCTCCCAGCCTAATGCCAGCAATAGGACCGTTGCCTTCCATACCTGGGGAATACAGGTTCTTAAGATCTACCCAGCTCTGATATTCTAGGATTCTATTGCTCTCCTCTTCGATGGGCTCCAGCTGGAGGCCTCCCACCCCCACACAGTGTCTGCATTCAGATGGGACAGTTGACAATGGGAAAAAGAGCTACAATTTGGGTGGCTGGTTTGGCACTCACAGACTAAATGGTTCTTGTTTCCTGTGAAAGTATATTTAGCAAGTATGGTCGTCTAATGGCAACCCCTCACATTAACTATAATTACTTCCAGGGGTGGAAGAAGGGGATGGGAGGTGGGGGAGAGAGGATCAGAGCAGAGGGAAGTAAATTTGTTCAGCCAGAGAGACACATGTATCCAACCAAGCCATCCTGCAAACCGTTTCTCCAGGGAAAGGAATACTGGACAGGGGATCCAAACATCAGGCAGAATGACTCTTCTGCCACCTAAGGCTCCCTCCAGCTCTGAGATGCTATGATTTGGCTGTCCTCTCCTTGGAAGGGGGCTGGTTCTCAGCCTCCCATTCACACAAGGTAGCCACCACCTAGTGATGTCAGCATTCAGACTAGACACAGCTCCTCCAAAAAGGTAACCTTTTAGACGTCTGATTTGGGGTTTAGAAATAAGCAAACCACCCTTTAAGTCAATCCTCCAAGGGGGAAAAAACGCAGAGAAGAAAAGGCTCCTACTAACCCTTGTCCAATCTTCTCAAACCGAGTATACTTCTTCTTAGGGTCACCCACGCTCACAATGCTCCCTGTAACAGAGACAGAAGTGATGAGACATTGTTCCCTCCTACTCCATCAAATACAAAGTGCATGACATTTCCCCACCCCACTCCAACCCCAGGGTGGAATAAACAGCCAGCTACTTTCCCACTCAGAAGCCATCAGAGGCAATGGTAGTAGGGAAGCAGAGACTCCTTAAGTGAAGCCCAAACCAGATTACAATGTAAGTGGATAATATTTAACAAAATAAATAAAAATACAGTAGAACACAGACAATGTTAACATGTGGTTTTCTGAGTCAATAACTATGGTTTAGTGGCCTGCATATCTATTGGCATTTCGAATCACTAATCTAGGGAGTCCCTAATCTTCAAGTCTTGGCTTAAATCCCCACCCCTTCCATGAAGCCTGTCCTGTCTGATCACCACCACAATCATCCTGTCCCCTTTCTGGATGTCCAGAGAGAGGGAGGTGATGGTTACGTGCCATTCTGTCTTCTATCTCCTTGCCTTTGTATGGGCTGCCCTCCATACCTGGAATGCTCTCTCCCCTGAACAATGCTTCTTAAGGCCCCTGCCTCCCTTCTAGACTCAGCTCAAATCCCTCTTCCTGTAGGAGGCTTCTCCCAGTCCCCCCAGCTGCTAATGCCTTCCCTTTGCAGATTGTTTAATCTATTCTGTATATGTCTTGTAGAACTCTAATTATTGACATGTTGTCTACCCCCATTAAAATGTATGTTCCTTAAAGGCAGAGTCTGTTTGGTTTTTTAATTTTATTTTCTTGCATCCCCAGTGCCTAGCATATAATTAATGAAAGCTTGTTGACTGGCTGACTCATCTCTACCCTGATCAAGTCCCATTTATAGCATCAAGTTCATTTTCGGGCTCCAAAATTTAAGGAGACCCATGCTGCCATCTTATCTCCTTTCCCACACCCCACCCCACCCCAGGATATATTGTTAAGCACCTTACAAGCCATTAGGGATCTATCTTATCTCAGCTTTATGTATGTATCGACCCCTTTAGGACCCACCTGCAGCTAAGCCCTTTAAATCTGCAAGACCTCTCACCAAGGAAAAAGCCCATAGACGCTGCCCTGGCTAGGGACTCTCAGTCTCAGGTCTGAGCTGACTGTTCCCATTAACGTAGGAACAGATTGTTATATTTAGACAATGTCTAGAAGAAAAGAGGAGGAAATTCACAGCTCTGCTGCCTCCCAAATAAAGAAAGCAGAATATGGCCCACAGCAGTGACATTTGTCTGGTTTCTCACTTGACTTTCCCTCAGGTCTTCTATCTCCCCACCAAACTGTATCACTCTAGAATACAGCCAAACTGTGATTGCAGCCACTATTCTCATTCTGCTTCGCTTCTCCCTACCGCCCACTCTCCTTTAAAGATTTCTTCCCCTCTTTCTCTGAGGCCCAGCTTCCACACTGCTGCCTCCCTGAAGCCTTCACCCCATCACCCAGGGAAAAGACGTCTTCAGCACCTGCCCTGGGCGTCTCCTGTATGCGTCTCTGTTCCCTCCTGTGTATGTGTTCTTCCCAACTTAGACTGGAAGCTCCCTGAGTGCAGGGAACTGCACATAAAAGTTTAAATCCCCCATGGCTGAACATATGGCAGCCTAATATGATTATTTCTTAATCCAAACTGAGTTAGATTCTTTCTACGTCTTTCCAGATGGCACTGAGAGACAGGAAAGATGTGAAATGTGTTTGGTCTTCAATCAGACCCTACCTTCCCACCTTATTCTTCCCAAGAATCCTAACAGGCCCCGATTCCCCTTCAGGGATGGGGAACCTACAGCCTCGAGGCCACATGCAGCTTTCTAGGTCCTTGAGTACGGCCTTTTGACTGAGTCCAAGTTTTACAGAACAAATCCTTTTATTAAGGGGATTTGCTCTGTGAAGCTTGGATTCAGTCACAGGACCTCACTTGAGGATTTGGAAGGCCACACGTTCCCCACCTCTGCTAGCCTTTAGTATTCTCTTACATACTATTTCCTCCCATAGAAGGTAAGCTCCTAGAAGGCAGGAATTGTTTATCTAAAAAAGCTTTTGGATGCCCAGAACCCAATGCCGGTACCTTGTACACAGGAAGCCTTGAAAGACACTTAATCAAAGTCAATGGAGAACAGGTTATTTCCCAATTAGTAGCCAAGAAAAGCACAGCTTGTGCCCCTAAAACACACTCAGACCATTGATAATGACAGTCATTTCTTCCGACGGTGTGGTGACATGGTAAATGAAGAATCTTGGACTGGGAACCAAGGTCCCAGTTAATTAGCTGTATCTTGGTCAGAAGGTACTTGGCCAGGGTCAAGTCATTTTGCCTTATGAGGCTCAGTTTCTTCATCTGTAAAATGGGGGGAAATACTTGTACTATCAATCTCACAAGGCTGTTGTGAGGAAAGCATTTTGTGAGGCTTAACGTATAACAGAAATACAAGTTATTAGACCACCACTTCAGTTCTTCCTCCTAGGGTTGAGGAAAATACATGTTGGTTTGGCGGAGCCCCATGGGGCACAGAATAAAGCCCCAGTCCACCTGGGGCCCAAAAGCTGAGCTTGTCAGCAGGAATTGTGAATGCTGGAAATGTCCTAAAAGCAGTTGCTGTTTTTGGCTTTTCTCACATCTCCAGTGATTATCTGACGTGCAGTAGGTGCTTAATAGATGCTTGTTCACTGGGAAATATCTATGTAGATATACGTGGGCATGTGCATGATGGTAATAGCTAACATTCATATAGGGTTTTAAAGTTTATAAAGTGCTTTTACAAAGTAATCTACATACACATTACCTCATCTGATACAACAACCCTGTGGGTGAGTGGTATTATTATCCCCATTTTATAGATGAGGGCACCGAGGCTGAGAGCCTCACTCAGGTTAGGAAGCCACTAACTGGCTGAGGCCAGACTTGAGCTTGCATTTTCCTGTCCCAGTGATCAGCACTTACTTAATTTCTCCAAGATCTCTTCATCTGACATTTTGGGCTTCTTCTTCTGCTTCTCGGCATTGCGGGTCAGGGTGTCTGGAGGGGTAGTGTTGTTATTCTCGGTGGGGGAGATCGGAGATGTAGCCACATCGCGAGTTGGAGTGACAGGAATAGGGTCGATCACTGACCGTGTGTACACCTGCATGGATGGCAGGAGAACCAGAATGGAGTCAGCTTTCCTGAGCAAAGAGAGAGGCTGGGGGACAGTTCTCAGGCCCAAGATCTCAGCTGGGGGTCATGGGGCATGGTAGGGCTAACCCCAACAAATTCACCTGCCAGCATCCTATCAGGTTCAACTCATGTTCTCTTTTTAAAAAAAAAAAAGAATGAATCAGGTTCTTTTTTTTTAAAAGAGTTTTATTGATTTGGGTGTCTCTCTGTCTGCCTGTCTGTACATTACAATCCTTTCCCATCCCCTCTCATTTAGCAACTTCTCTTGCCAATACACGCATTTTCTACCCAATGGACAGAGTAGAGACACAGGTGACGTTAACTCCACCATCACACCAAACAGAAGGTTTGTTTGGAAGGGACCAAGGGAAGGAAGGAATTCCTTCCCTAAATTCTAGAAACCAGGATAAGGTGATGCCATCGCATGCCACCAAGTCCCCAAACCACAAGGTCAACTGTCCCTCTTGAGGCCCTCCCTCTGATTTTGTCTCCCCCATTTCGGGACAGGAGGTGAATCTGGTATAGCTTCCATACTGTGAACGCTGCCCTTCCCAGCCTTTGGAGAGTTCAGCACCGGCAAAGCCAGAAGAGACAGATAGTGTCCAGAGGCCCTATGCCCCGTATCTCTTAAATGTGAGCAGCACACTGAGGTGGAAACTAGGAGACTTGCATTCTAGGCCCAGCTCTGGTGCTGCCCAGCCCCCCTAAGACAAATTACCACAATGAGCTTCAGTTTTCTCCCCTGTAAAATGAGAGGGTTGGGCTCAGATGATCTCTGAGGTATCTTCAAACTCATAACATTCTATGTTCTAAGTTCCCTCCAATCTGACATTGCATGTTTGAAGGTTTCTTCCAGCTCATGCATTCTATGCATTATGTGTTCAGCCCCATCCAAGTAGAGCATTCTACAGAATGAGGTCAGAATGAGAGAGAGTGGTTGGTAGCAGCTATTCCACCCTCGGGTCCACCCAGCCTCGTCCAAAGCCCAGCGCTCTTCTCCATCTGTCCCCTTCCTCCCACATGATGTTTCAGCCTCCCGGTTGCAGGTACAAGAACCCCTAACTCTAGGACACTGCATGCCAGCAGGCATCTCAAATGTTTACCTCAAATGCTAGCATCTGGCTTTTGCATATATCTCAAACTCCCAACCCTTTTTGTGTGTGAAGCCTTCCCGAATGTCTCTAGCCCACGTTCAAGGCACTGTGGCGTAATGGAAAAGTCCATGGATTTAGAGTCAGAAGGACTGAGTTCTGTTCTCTTTATCATCTACAAATGAAGTGATATCTAATAGACTAGATATTAATAATATAACAATAATAGCCAACATTTATATAGCCAAGTACTATGCTAAATGTTTTATATAATATTTGATCCTCACAACAACCCTCAGAGGTAGGTACTGTTATTATCCCTATTTTACAGATGAGGAAACTAAAGCAAATAGAGGTTAAGTGACTTGCCCAGGGTCACATAGCTAGTAAGTGCCTGAGGCTGGATTTGAATTCAGGTCTTCCCGATGCCAGGTCCAGCTTATGCCACCCAGCTACCATAGATGAACTCTAAGGTCCACTCCACGTCCCACGTTCTATCACTATGTGATTAATCTTTATTTCTGGGTGGCAAAGGAATGCAATGCTGGACCCAGAATCAGAAAGACCTGAGGAATGAGATCCCAATGGAGACTGGATAAAAACAGAACATGTTGATGTCTTAAATTGGTTTTGGGTTTTCTTTTTGGTTTTGCTGGCTGGGCAATGGGGTTAAGTGACTTGCCCAGGGTCACACAGCTAGTAAGTGTTATGTGTCTGAGGCTGGATTTGAACTCAGGTCCTCCTGAATCCAGGGCCAGTGCTCTATCCACTACACCACCTAGCTGCCCCCTTAAATTGGTTTTTCTCAAGGCGTCCCAGCAATGTACTTACTATCTTGGTTATTCTGAGGAGCAGGCAAAGAAATCAGATGTTATGTGAGGTTCCTACGGAAAGGCACACTGGCTTGGAAGTAAGAAGGCCCGGGTTTGGGTCCAGTCCTGTTCATCACTATGTGGCATTAAGCAAGTCACTTACAACAATGCCCACTTCTACAAAGCTTACAAGGTTTGCGAGGCACGCTTCCTCATAGCAATATGTGGACTGAGTGGCGCAAGGCCACCGTTCCCCTCTGACCAAGGCCCTTTGGGAATGGACTTTTCTCTCTATACACTGTGTCACCTCCCTGCCAGCTGAAGCCCTTGGTACCTGGAAAGCACCGTGGGCACGTGCGCCATTGTTCCGGAATGAAGATGAAGGGTTAGTCACTTGCTAACTGACGGGGACCTTCAACTAGGACAATGGGCTCTGTGGCATCATCAGTCCTACTCTGTCTCCCTTTCCATCAAGGCACTAAATTCCTATGCCACCTTTACACTTTTAGTGCTACCTTCCTGCATCCGGCTTCCTTCAGAGCAAGGCTTGGGTGCCACTTCCTACTGGAGACCTTCCCTAATTCTCTGCCTCCCTCCAATTACAAACACTCTCTCTCTCTTCAAATTACTTTGTGTTACTTGGGATGATTATAGTGTCCACGTTGTACCTCCCCCTCCACTCCCCACCAAGAGAACCTAGGCTCCACCAGAGGAGAGACTCTGTATGCCCACAGTGCCTTGCATACAGTAGGTGCTCATTCAGTGACTTGGCTTACAGACACCATTCCCTTGTTTATGCCTCTTTTCTCAGGCGTGAGACTCTTCAGGTGACGGCAGAGTCTGAGCCATAGAAGGCCAGAGCCGAAAAGACTGGAGAGATCATCTAATTCAACCCCCTCACTTTACAGAGGAAGCTTTTAATTAACACAAGATAACATGGAATTAGCTTCTTTTTTTTTTTTTGGCAGCCAACGCTGTGATGTCAGAGCCAGAAGAGCTCATGTGAGCTGAGGCCTAGCACTTTCTCCTTCCTCTGCCGCCCTCACAGCAAAGGAGGTGACAGTCTTACTCCTCTGCCCTGGTCAGTCTATCCTAGTGACCTGACTCCAGTTCTGGGGACACATTTTGGGGAAAATGCTGATCAATAAGAAGAAAAGGAAGACCAGATAATGAGAATGGAGACTGTGTCCTATGAAGAATGGAGGAAAGGTCTCACAGGGTGTTTAGTTTGGAAAAGAGAAGATTTAGAAGAGATGTAATCATTGTTACCAAGTGCCCAAAGGGCTCGTTACATGGCCTCATTTTCTTCAGCCTACAAAAGGCAAAACTAGGAACCATGGGGAAAGATAGAAGTAAGATTTCAGCCCTGAACAAGCAGAAAGGAATGGGTGGTTTCAACTGGTAGTGAGCTCCCTGTCACTGAGAGAGCTTACAGTAGATGACTGGGGATATTATAGAAGGAATCCTTAGTATACAGGATTTCTTGAAATGGGAATTTATTGCTATATATTTTGAATCCTCTCATGTTCTGCAGTGCACATGACACGCTTCTTTTCTTTTCTTATTTATTTTCTTTTCTTATTTGTTTCAATATTTAAGTTTATAATGTTTCTTTTTCTTTTCTTTATTGTATATTTAAGTTTTATTATTTTAAAAATTTTTTGAAAAAGGACAGAAAGAAAAACCAAAGGAATCCCTAGATCAGGCAAGGAGTTGTGCTCGTTCCCTTCACTAAGATCTCTTCTAGCTCTAAGTTCCACAGAGTGGGGAAGTGATTTACTCAAGGTCACACACTAGGCCAATGGCAACACCAAGATTGGGCCCCACAGTCTCCTGACTCCTCATCCACAAATACCTTTTCCAGTCTTTGCCATTGCAAGATTTATGAATGGGACCTGTTTGCCTGTTTGTTTTTCTCCCCTCTTCCCAGTGTTTGATTCTTCTGCTCCTAGATGACTGCTTAAGAAGTTTCCACATTTTTTTTTAATATGTATAGCCAGGAAGGAACATGGCATCTCATTTTCCCATTTCTCATTTTCTCAGAAATCCACATCACAATCCTAACATCAAATTTAAGGCTCAGATACCCCCAAGACAGTTGTGTAATACAGAGACCCTGAATTTCTGAGATTCTACACTGGGACCAGGAGAAAGGAGTCACTTGCCCAAGGTCAGGCCATGAGTTAATGGCAGAGCTAAGTGTAGACTTCAGGTCTCCTGGCTCCCTGGCCAATGGAATCAGGGCTACCACATCTCAAAGCCCTACGGGTCTGAAAAGGAAGGCCAGCAGAGGTGCTGCCAATCTCCAGCACATGAAGAGTTTCATGGCAGATAAGAGCTACTGTGGTTATATATCCCCAAGGCGGCCATCCATCGTGCTCTTTAGTTTCACATGCTGAGTGCTGCTATTTTCAAGCAAATCTTGCAGAACTGTGATTACCGACTTCCCAGGGGAAGATGAGAGTGACTCATTTAAGCCCAGAACTAAATAATGTTGACTGTGTTTAACGTAACATTGGTTGAAGGGAGGCTGGGGAGCCATGGGAGAGGTCAGGAAGGTATGAGTGAGAAGAAGCCCTTCCTGCTTTATCTCCAACCACTCGCCTACAAATACGCTCCCCAAAGCAGCCAAGTGTGTAAGTCCATGATCATTTGATGTGGAAGAGGCCTGAGAGATCCTCTAGGCTAATTTTCTGACATTTACAGATGAGAAGGAAGGCCAATGGATGGGATGTGACTTACCCAAGACCACACAGGTAATAAGTGGCATAGATAAGCATTGAAATGCTTATCCCCATTACAATACTAATAAAAATAGCATTTATTATAGTGTGTTAAGGTTTGCAAAGCACTTTATATATGTTATCTTATTTGATTCTCACAATAACCCTGGGAGGTAGGTGCTATTATTATCCCCACATTATAGATGAGGAAACTGAGGCTTGAGAGAGAGTAAGTGACGTGCCAGGGTCACTCAGCTAGTAAATGTGTGAGGCAGGATTCTAACTCAGGTCTTCCGACTCCAAGTCCCATACCCTATCCACCTAGCCAGTCAGGAAGACTTCTGTTTAAAAAAAAAATCTTGGCTTCAGTTTCCTCATCTGTAAAATGGTGATGACACTAATTATCACCTACTTCTTATGATTGTTTTGAAGATCAAATAAGATAATATCTGTAAAGTACTTGGAAACCTTAAATTGCTATATAAATGTCAACTATTATTACTATAAAACCAAGTCTTTTTGTTATATCATGAAATCTGCCATTCCTTCATCATCCCCTGCCTCTCCTGCTTCCTTGTATTTGTTCAGGCTGCCACTCATAGTTAGAATGGACTTCCTCTTTCCTCTGCTTTGTGAAATTCTTCCCTTCTTTCAATGCCTAACTCAAGTCCAACCTACTCCATGAAGCCCTCCCTGATTCCCTCTCCCTGCCTCCTAAGCTAAAAATGATTTCTCTTCAAGTTTTTCCTGACCCTTTCTCTGCACCTCTCTCCCTTAACACATTCTAATTTGTATCATAGTTGGTTATGTTATTATAGTGTATCTATTTTATTTCTAGAGCATAATAGGGACCTTGGGACCAAGGAACATGAAGTAAATTTCTCTTTCTGTCTCTCCAGGGCTGCATCTTACACTCAGCAGGTATTCAATAACTATTTCTTGAAAATTGACTGAAATTATTGGTAACTCTCTACAGGCGGCCAAGTCAGGAGGACCCAAATCTAAACCCAGCCTCAGATATATACTAGCTGTGTGAACTCACTTCATCGCTGTCTGCCTCAGTTTCCTCAAATGTAAAACGGGGATAACAATAGCACTTACCTCCCAAGGTTGCTGTCAGGATCAAATGAGATAATAAAAATACTTGGCACAGTGCCTGGCACATAGTAAGTGTAAATGTCAGTTATTGTTATTATTATTACTCCTTCTTTCCTTCTCCATTAGGATAATAATGATGATTATGATGGAGACATTGATGGATTGCTTCAGAGATGGGTTGAAATAATAGAAAATATTTCTCTAGTGCTTTTTTTCAAAGTGCAAAAACCCTCCCCACTCTAGTAACTTCATGAGAAAGATTATAATCTCTATTTTACAGATAAAGAAACTGAGGTTCAGAGAGTCACTAGGCCAAGATCAAGGACAGTCAATGTATTGATTAAATCTGTATTTTTTTCACTCACCTTTAAAGAATTTTAGCTACAGGAATAGAAATAAGGCTAAGGATAGGATAAGACCTGAGATTTCATTGGCATAGGGAACTCAGATCCCTCTACCAACGTAGGGCCAGTACCGTCTCTACAACTTAATAGTCCTAAAAGTTGTCTAGAACACAGAGAGAGGAGGTGACTTCAGGGTCCCATGTATGTATCAGGCACAGGACTTAGCCCCACATATTCCTCATTTTGAGGCCACCATACCAAAGTAGAAGTGTGTATCAGCTGCAAAAAAATCAACAATGTCTCACTTGTATATCCCTGGCCTTTGGAAGCCTCGGGGCACCAATCTCTCCCCTCCAAGATTCTATCTCCACCCATTCACTAACAGCAAAAGGGTTAGGTTCAAACCCCCAAGAACTCACGGATTTTGTGTGCTCTGGCCGAGGCGCTATCACTGGAGGGGGAGCAGCATCGTCCTCATCATCTTCATCCTCTGAAACTGGAGGGACAGCAGGTGTCTCAGACACACTCTTCACATTCTAAAAGAGAAGCAAATACAAGATTGGTTCTACTTCTGTTGGGATAAGACCTACTTAGGAGATGCAGACCTCACCATTCCCATGCATACTCAGAAATGTACCAAGCCCTAAAGCCTGAAGCCAATCCTTCCCCCCTTCTTCCAAAGGATTATCTGCCCCATCCCAATATTCCTCCATTTGGAGGTAAATGTGGTCCAACTGTCTCATCTCACTGATAACTTGCCTCATTGTTTCAAAAGGCAAGATGGTCACAAATTCTCACAGCTGAAAGAAGACTCAAGGGCTATTTGCCTATCCCACACTCTTTTCCATAACGTCGCCAACAAGCTGGCCACTGACAACTTCCAGTGAGCAGCATCTTCCTACCTGCCAAGGCAGTCCCTTCTACTTTCAGACAGCTTTCTCACTGGGAAATTTTCCTCCCATTGAGCCAAAATCTGTCTCTCTGAACCTTCCAGCCACTGCTTCTAGTTCTAGGCCGTGCAGAACAAGGGTCATCCTTCTTCCACATGGCAGAATTAAATACACTCTATTTCCTTCCAGCAGTCCTGCAAATGTGGCCTGACCATGGGCAAAGGACATCAGGACTGATATCTCACTGGTTCACAACACCTTAATTAACACAGATCGTGATAATGGTTTTTTGGCTGCTCCCTATCTTTCCAGGCTGCTTATACCTTACACCCCAACACTACCTCTACAATCCAGCGACACTGGCCTCCTGGCTGTTTCTTAAACAAGACCCTACATTTGGCTCCAGGCATTTCCCCTGGGATACCCCTCACGTTCTCTCCCCTCAACTCTGCCTCCTAGCTTCCTTCAAATCCAAGCTAAAATTTCCTGGTCCCCCTTAATTCTAGTGCCTTCCCTCTGTTGATTATTTCCCACTCATTCTGTACTTCGCTTGTTTACACATAGTTGTGTGTTGTCTCCCCCCTTAGACAGTGAGCTCCTCGAGAGAATGTCTTTTACCTTTATATCTGCAGTGCTTAGCACAGTGCCTGGCATACAGTAGGTGCTTAATAATGCTTGCTGATTGATTGATCAATTAACTGCATCATACTGCTGACTCACAGTAAGCTTGCAATCTACTAAACCCCCCAAGATCTTTTCAGCACAAAGATCTGGCCAAGTGGGAGAAAAAATACTGATGGTCTAAGTTTCCAGATACTAGCAAGGCACCCTTACACTGTAGCAGAGGAACAGAAAGAGTCCACTTAGACAAGATTCTGCCTCCCATCCACAGCGCCATGAATGTGATGAGGTAAGCTAAGGAACACTTTAGAAGGCACTGACAGTGTCATCCCAGAGCTGAGAAATGCCCAAGGGCAAGCCAAGCATATCCTGCAGAGCACCCCAGAACCTTACCACCTGAAGGTTCGTGAAGACTGGGAGGCTGGCCAGAACAAAACTTGGACAACATTCACAAATGATTCCCGGGGGGGGGGAAAGAGGGGTGGGAGAGGGGAACTACATCTTAAGATACCAACTTGGCTGTACCGGGACATCACCAATCAACTCAAATTTTAAAATAGAAGGGGGATCTATCTACTCTACTCAAGTCTTCCTTCACTGCCTCATCAATAAGGGTGCGTGCATTGGGGGCAGAAGGGAGAAACTATGGTCTTAGGGAGGCAGTCCTGGAGATGGAATCACAAAGAAATGAGTGTGAATCCTGTCTCTGCCACTTACTGGATGTGTGAACTTGAACAAGTCACTCACTTTCTTAAGAACTATTTTCTCGGGTGTAAACAGGAGAGCTAGAGGAGTGGACCTTTTATGGGTTTTTTCCAGCTTTAAATCCCATGTTCCCAATCAACTATTTTGCTTCTGTATTTGCTACCAATTCAATAAGCATTTATTAAGCATTTACTGCGTACCAGGCACTGTAATAAGCATTGGGAATACAAACACAAGCAGAAAGGAAAGACAGAATAAAAAGGATGAATTGAGAAGCAGGTAATAATACAGAAAGAGCTCTTGATTTGGAAGGAGAGAATCTGGATTCAAATTCTTTCTCTTTGACTTATTGTCTGTGTGACCTAGGGCAAATCACTGAAACTGTCTGGACCTCAGTTTCCTCATTTAAAGGAAGGGGATGGACTCATCTCTAAGACTCCTTTCCAGCTCTAAATCAAAGAGCCTACAATTGAAACTCAAGATAAGGGAGGTGCAAAGAGCAGCAGGCTATCAGTCACCAGACCTGGACTGACCCCATCCCAAGCTCCACATCAGTTCCCCTGGAGCTCAGAGGCCCAGCTTCATGGCATACCTTGGCAGGAACCAGAGATCTGCTAGCAACTCCCTACACAGGCCAGGTAAGATGTCCAGATAAGCTTTGGGCCACTGAAATCACAGTGATCTGCTTCCTTAGATTCCATATAGAGCAAGACATTGCCAGCTTTCTCAGACATTTCATTACATTGCGGGGAGAAGAAAGGGTAGCAACCAGTGGAAGCAACAGTGACCAGGATGGAAGGGGACCAGGGACTATGCTGGATGGGGATCAGGTCACAGACCTGGGGGTATTCAGCAATTAAAAGAAAAGAGAGGATACACGTTAAGGGAAGGTGATTTAATATCTCTCATCCTTTCTCTCCACTCCCAGTCCTTCCCAACTAAAAAGAGCAGTTCTTTGAGTCCTCCAAAAGGAGGAGTTCTTCATGGTCTAATTTCTAAGTGGAATTGGCTTATTCAGTGTGGTCCACAGGAGGAGAGTTAAGGGTAAAAGGAGGAAATAACAGAATTAATAGTCTTTTATTTTTCTACCCAGTGCTTGAATGCAGTCTTTCATTCATTCATAAATATGTTTACATTTATATAGTGTATGGTTTATAGTATAAACTGGCCAAGGTAAGCAAAGAACATGGCCCTAGACACATTCAAGCAGACGTCAGATGATTCCCTGTCAGGAAAGCCATGCTACAGAGGGGATCTCTGCATGCAGTGGTCATGTGGGGCCTAGTTACTCTCCGAGGTCCCTAACTTGGGAGATTCCAGGATTCCACACATGCCCTATAGAAATATAGTGTAAAGTTTAAAGTATATAGTTTAAGGTTTGCAAAGCACTATCTATATACTTATGTGTTTATACATTTATGCACGTATAACCACACATATGTGTATACGTGTGTGTATATACATAATGTGTCTGTGTGTGTATATATGTATATCTGTAATACATATATATATATATGTGTGTGTGTATATATACACACAGACACACACACAAGTGTAACTTTCTAAGACTAAGTTGCAGAGATGGCATTGATCTAATTTGGTCAGCTTTTTTAATCCGTAAATTCCCTTATCAAAGACATCACAAGGCCACTCCCTTTCCCACAGAGACATAGGGTGATGTTATGAAAAGTTCTGGATTTAGCATGAGGATCTAGGTCTGAACTCTGCCTCTGCTACTTCCTCACTGCATGAACTTTCCTTCAACCGGCTTCAGTTTCCTCTTCCTTAAAATAAGGGCATTAGACTTGAGGATCACTCTTGATCTGGCCAGTCCCAGATCCCCAAGGCTCAGCCAGTGTAGGGATCCCACCTGAGAAGGCTCATGTTCCAGCCTCCCCTGGTCACCTCTGGCTCAGAGAACAATAATCAGATCAGTACTGACATTCCTGTTGTCACAAAGGTCCTGGCATATTCCTGGGGACTGCCTAGGGCAAAGTCCCTTTCCCCAGGCACCACTCCCTTTACAATATGTTTCATTGATATTTTGCGAAGTGTTGTTTATATTCCTAGAACATAAACTCCCTGAAAGCAAGGCCAATCTCACTTTCGTGTTTTTATCCTCAGTAATAAATGCCTATTGGTTGATTGCTTGATTGAGCCCTTCCAGAACTGACCAACTGTGTTTAAGGAGAACTCAGAGATCCTACAAGTAGGAAGAACTTCTCATGATTGGCTAAGGGCTGCCCCCCAACAGACAGATGCCAAGGTAAGCAAAGAGCATGGCCCTAGACACATTCAAGCAGGTGTCAGATGACTCCCTTTCAGGAAGGCTATGCTACAGAGAGGATCTCTGCATGCAGTGGTCACATGGACTAGTCCGAGATCCCTAACTTGGCGATTCCAGGATTCCACACATGCCCTATAGAAAGGTATAACCTGCTTTACTCTCCCTGCTAAACTAGACTTTGATCAAGAATAGCATGCAGGCCTCAAGTGGACTTTTGGACACTTAATCTTTTGAGCCAAAGGCAGAGAAACCACACTCAGCAAAAGAACACACCCTCCCATCCTACAGGAGGTCTCATGGCATGGTGAAAGCAGTCATGTGGCCTACCATTTCCTAGATGTGAGACCTTAGACACAGGACAAGATCATGAGATTCAGAGTGGAAAGGGCTCTTGGAGGCCATTTAGTACGACCTCCAGTGTTTTTCAGGTGAGGAAAGTGAAGCCCAACAGAGGGTTAGAGACTTGCCCAACATCACATAACTGGGCCTGAATTTGAACTCAGGACCACTGACTCCAAATCTGGTGCTCTTTCCACTAGAATATGCTGCATCTCTAGAATTCAATGCCCATATCTATGAAGCATGGATTATAATCTCTGCCATGCATCTCACATACATCTGTTGGGCATATATACTAGGTGTTTAATAATTGCTGGTTGAATAAATCAATGAATAGAATAACAGATATTCACAGACTTTCAAAAATATGAAGTTCTATACAAACATAATGGGGATAATACATATAAAGTACTTTGGAATCCTTAAAGTGCTATATAAGTGCTACTTATTATTATGAGCACTTTTATCCCTTAGGCAGCTAGGTGGCATGTCGTATGGAGCTCTGGACCTAGAGTCACTAAGTTGTTATTGTTGTTGTTCCAGTCATTTCCGTCGTGTCTAACTCTTTATGACCCCATTTGGGTTTTGTTTGTTTTTTGGGAGGCAATTGGGGTTAAGTAACTCACCCAGGGTTACACAGCTAGTAAGTGTCTGAGGCTAGAACTGAACTCAGGTCCTCCTGACTTCAGGGCCAATGTTCTATCCACTGTGCTACCTAGCTGCCTCCATTTAAGGTTTCCTTGGCAGAGATACTATAGTGATGTGACATTTCCTTCTCGAGCTCATTTTATAGATGAGGAACTGAGGCACACAGGGTGAAGTGATTTGCCCAGGGTCACACAGCTAGTAAGTGTCTGAGGACAGATTTGAACTCTTGAAGGTGAGTCTTCCTCACTCCTGGCCCAACACTCTATCCACTGTTCCATCGAGCTGCTCAAGTAAGACTTGAGTTCAAATCCTCCCTCTCTGTGTGACCCTGGCTAGGCAAGCCACTCAATCCTTCTCTACCTAAATTTCCTCGCCTATAAAACAGGGATCATAATAACAACTACCTCCCAGGATTACTGTAAGGATCAAATGAGGTAATATTTGTAAAGTGCTTAGCATAGTGACTAGAACATAGTAATTTAATAAATTTAAACATTTAATTAAACATTTAACAAATGTTTGTTCTCTTCCCTGCCCCCTTCCTTTCCCTTCAAAAAAGGACATAGATAGATCTACCTATATAGATCTCTAAAGCTATAGATATCGACATCTCTATCTATACGTGTAAATGTATGCGCATGTGTATATATAGACAGAGCCAGGGGCAGGCTGCCAAAGGGTCAAAGGAATGGCATTGGCACAGTGTGCCGTACAGCCTTCCTGTTTTGTCAGTTACCAAAATGCCCTAAGTGCAGGATTTTGCTGAGCTGGTACCATCCTATCTGCCATATGGCCCTAACCTCAGGCCACTTTTTCCTAAACGCACGGCAGGGCTATACCTATTTGCAAAGTCACAGAAAGTCAGAGATAGAAAAAGACTTGGAACTAGAAAAGAATGTCAGTGTGGTATAGAGCCTTAAAAACAAATGCTGTCCAGAGCTCTAAAGGACCTTGGAACACAATGTTAGAGCTGGAACAACCCTTAGAATGTAGAATTAGGGCAGGGAGGAACTTCCAAACTGGAAGGGACCACAGAAATCATCTAATCCAAACCTCACAGTTTTCAGATATGGAAACAACTGTCCAGGGCACAGACCAAGCTTTTATATCGAGTTAATGGAAGCCAAGACTAGAACCCAGTTCTCCAAGCGTCTAAGCAGTGCTTTACATGCACCTCTACCCACCATCTTCAGTGCCTTCATCTCCCTTGCTCCCACTCTTAACTATGCTATATTCCCTACTACTCCATAACCATTTACCAGTTTGAAGAGGCCAAAGCCCTTACCCATTAATGAAACCCACCATGCCCTACAGGGGTAGGAAACCTGTAGCCTCGAGGCCACATGTGGCCCTCTAGGTCCTCAAGTGTGGCCCTTTCACCAATCCAAACTGGGAACCTGAAGCCTCAAGGCTACATGCGGCCCTCTAGGTTCTCAAGTGTGGCCCTTTGACTTCAAGGCTGCAGGTTCCCCACCCCTGCTTACACTTACTAGTCTCAAAGTGGAAAACAAAGGCTTACCAAAGTGTTCGATGAGTTGTAATCTTCCGTCGACTTATCTGCAAGAGAAGAAAGCCAATAAAAGACTGAGACATCATTAGAAAACCAGTAAGGTTCACAGCTCACTAAAATCCTGAGGGGCCAAATGGGCCAATTAAAGGATAAGAATTATACCTTACTGTATAGTGCTTTAAAGTTTACAGAGTGTTTTCTTTGCAACACCCATGTAAGTTTAAAGGTGAAGTCAAAATCACCCTACTGACTTAGCCCTGGTGCATTTCTCAGGTGAGAATGTGCCTCAATTGTTCACTGGGTGTGAATGAGGTCTGGACTCCTGGGTGCTACAGAAGTCTGTTTGGATTGGCAGAGGGACTCAGTTACACTCTCTGGGGCTTGGATAAAACCAGGAAGCTGGCTGGAACCAGAGATTCAAGCAAGCAGCAGGCCAGGAAAGAGCATTCCAGCCAAAAGGTTGAGAGAACAAGGAACCTTGGTCTCCTCCTCCAGAAGACTCTGGACTTCCCATCTTCTCATCGGAGTCCTAGCAGCATGGTCAAAACAAGTGATGGCTGCATCTCCATCTGGAGCCAAGAACAACCTGAGATGCAGATTTGAGCCTCTACAAAGGGCCCCAAAGGAAAAAACCTACACTATGCCTAAGGGGATCTTCACCAGCACCCATCAAGTGAGTGGAGGGAAGAAACCTCCAAGAAGAGAAGAAAAGGACTTCCAGGAGCCTTGAATTGCCCCTTTACCACAAATATGCTCTAAGTTTGAACCTGCTTTCCCCTGAGCTTTGAATGTACTGATGGGAAAATGTTTCACAGATTTGTAGGGGGATGTTTCATCTTAATTGTTCCTACTCTACAACACCAAGTAAATACTCCTTTATAAATACTAAGTCTGTTTGGCTAATTTATATCAACTGACAACCTTAGAAAGGGGGACACACCATTGGGAACTCAACTCATGAGCTCTGTTGTTCAGCTGTTTTTCAGGTGTGTGTCTCTTCATGACCCTATTTGAAGTTTTCTTGGCAGAGATACTGGAGTGGTTTACCGTTTCTTTCTCCAGCTCATTTTACAGATGAGGAAACTCAGGCAAACAGGGTTAAATGACTTGCCCAGGGTCACACAGCTAGGAAGTGTCTGAGGCCAGATTTGAACTCAGGAAGATGAGTCTTCCTGATTCCAGGCCCAGCACTCTGTCCACTGTGTCACATTTAGCTGCTCACCTGAGCTTTAGATAGCATTCAACAAACAACTTCCCAACCTCTCAGGGATACCACCTGGAGTTCACGGTGTCCAGTTCTGGAAACCCAACCTGACAAAGTCTACAGAGGGTGGGAGAGTAAATACTGAGCCTGTTTCCATTAGGTAGGTGGTAAAAGTATTATATGCCCCTTTTTATAAATGAGAAGACAGTCTCAGAGAAGCAAAATGATTTGCCCAAAGTTATTAAGCTAGTGTAATGTCAGCCCCAGGATTCTACTTCAATTCTCTTGATTCTCACGTTCTTTCCAGTATACCAAACTGCCAAAGACTTCATGGTCCCAGAAGACTGTTTCCATCACACTCTAGCATATTTTGAAATGATCCATCTGAATCCTGGGAATATTAGACCTCAATGTCCCAGAAGTTTTTTTGGGGGGTCAAAAGAAAAATAACCTCAGAAGGAAAGACAGAGATAGAACAAGGACATGAGCTCCTGGCTCCCTCCCCAAGCCTTCCAAAATGAGTCATGACCCAGCCTCACAATCAATCTCTCCATGGCCATGTCTTCTCTTCCCCAGGGACAGAAGGGTTGAAGCTTACAAGCTTCATTATTCTAAGACTGGAACAGGGCCATTCATCATGTCCCATCCAATTACAGGCAAAGAACAATATTGCTCCTCTCCCCGAGGCTTTGAACCTTGGACAGCCCAGGACAGACCACTTCATCTTTTAATCAGATCAGTGTTTCAGTACTACCTCTGGCACTTACTAGCTCAGTCACCTGGGTCATTTTCCTTCTCTGAGTCTCAGTTTCCACACCTGCAAAATGGGGGTAACATTTGGATGTAGTAGAAATAACAGTAGATTTGGAGCTGGCTTTGAATCCTGGCTCTTGCTACCTGAATGACCTAGGAACAGTCAATTTCCCCAGTCATTTCTCTGAGCCTCAGTTGTTTCAACTATAAAAGAAAAAGGTTGGACCAATGTCCTTTCCTATCCCAATTCCTACGATTCTATGAAATTATACTGCCAACCTTCCTGATGTGAAGAAAGCACTTTGTAAGCTTAAAAGCACTATACAAATGTAAGGTATCATCATCATCATCATAGACCCTCTCCCAGGAAGAACTCATTATGGAGATTTATACCAAGATCATTAAGTGTAGGAGCAGGGCTGTGTAAGGTAAAGAACCTTAGACTAGTAGCCAGGGACAGCATGATGGATTATGGACACTGCGCTGCTCTCAGGGTCAGGAAGAACTAGGTTCCAACCCCACCTCCGACACTTACTAATTTTGTGACCAGAGGTAAGTCATTCAAACTTTCTGAGCCTCAGATTCCTCATCTGTAAAATGAAGGCGAATAATAGTTGGTTGTTGTGGTAACCAAATGAACTAATTTATGCAAAGTGCTTTAGCAAGCTATGAAATGCTATATTAATGTTGTTATGGGCCATGCTGTGCTAACCAGCCATGAGACTTTGGGCAAATCAGCTCCCTGAACCTCAATTTCCTAACTGGTAAAATAAGGACAAAAATCTTGCCTGACAAACTGATAGGGTCGTTCTGAGGATCCAGTCAATCACTCAGTCAAATGAGAAAAACAGATGGGAAAGCAATGAACAAATGTCAGGGATTCTTATTCCTACCAGGGGGTAGCAAGAACATGATGTAGCCAACAACAACAACAACAAAAAGCCCTGGACATTTAGGAATCAGAGAACCTGGATTTAAGACCTTATCCTGCAAAAACCACTCCCTTTCCGTAGTATAGAATCCTGACACTATGAACAGCTGTGAGTTATTTAGAGGATGAACAGCGGAGAGATGAGGCAGAAAGTCAGGATACCTGGGTCCTAATCTCAGCTGTACCATTTGCTCACTGATTTTGACTATGTCATCCTCTCTGGGCCTCAGTTTCCCCTTCTCTAAGATGAAGAGAGGGTTTAGACAAAAAAAAAAACCACCTCCAAAGTCCCTTCCTGTTCTAATCCTTTTATGATCAATTAATTAACATAAATCCCAGGCACAGAGGATTAGGGAAGAGATTCTTTGCACCCATGTGATTAGAAAGCAGGAAGTCTAGACTAAACATTTGACCAACTCTAGCACCTTCCTCATTCACAAGTTAAACCCACAGAGCCCCAACTCCTTTCATAAGAATAATCCAGTTCTAACCTCTTTCTTCCCACAATGAAGCAAGAATCCACAAAGCAGTGGAGTGCATCAATACGAAAGATAAGTCAGTCCATTATTTTTTCAAATTATAACCTTCTGTGGTCAACCGTAGCTCATGGAACACACTTCCGCATTTGCGTTCAGTACATAGACTACACGGCTCCCCCACTTCAGGACAATGCGCCAGCCCAGGGTTGTACTCTCCCTACTTTGATCAGCAGCCTCAGGGTAGAAAAAAAGCTGGTGCCCTCCCTGGAGCTCTTATATAAAGAGCCCTCCTCCTCCATACATCAACTGCTCATCTCCCGGATTATGGAACACCAGGATTGGCCACACATGTCATTGGTCATGGCTGAGGGGCCTTTTTAAGGAAACTCTGGGGGCATCTTCCAGGCAACAGGAGCTGGGGGTGGTTCCATCATCCCAGCTCTCACTTGCCAGCTGCCTGATCAAAACCAAGTCTCTTCCTCTCTCTCTCTCTGAGCCTCAGTTTCATTATCAACAAAACGGGGAGAATAACATTAGCACTAAGAATCTCCCAGGGTTGCTGTGAGGAAAGTGCTTTGTTAAACCTTCAAACTCTGTAGAAATATGAGTTGTCATTATCTTACCATCTGTGTATTTCTCTTTGACCTGGAGGACACTGAACCAGCCCAGCTCACCACAGGGGAATGTCATTAGGCATGGACTTCCCAATCACATTTATCAAAACACAGCCAGTTTGCTATAATATTTGTCCCCGCAGCAACAGCCCATTAGGGCTGTTTTTTTCCAGAGATGCTGGCATTTCAAAGGCACCTTACAGGGAATAAAACAAACTCTGCTGAGAAAGGAGGAGTCCCAAGGAGAAATTTAATGATCTCTGAAATCTCCCTGATGTAGGTCTTAGCATGGTGTTGAAGAAGAAACGTTAGAAGTGAGGACTAAGTTTAAGGTCCAATTTCTCCTTATGATCTGTATGATTTTGGACAATTCATTTAACGATTCTGTGCCTCAGTTTCCTCATCTGTCATATGGACAAGTATATGGTGATAACTGACCTGTCCAGCTCATTTGGAGTATCAAATTCCTTACTTGTATAAGATGCTTTATATAAGCTCCTTACATCAATCCATTATCTCCTCTGATCTCAATAGTCCTGGGAAATGGGATATTATTATTCCCAGTTTACAAATGAGGAAACTGAGACTCAGAGGGAACTGCCTGTGGTCAAACAGACAGTAAGGAGGAGAGCTGGGACTCAAATCCACATCTCGGAAATCCTAATTCAAGGCTCTTTCTACTACAATGCACTGTCCCCTCTACTCCCCCCTTCCCCCCAAAATAAAGTATTTGAAGGCATTTTGGAACATGCATAGAAGCTTCTACAACTGCAAGGTATCAGTACTGTCCATCTGCTTTCTCTCGTTAGCATACCTCCTCCTGCACCTCTGAGCACACACAAGAAACTTTGCTTATGTGTCACACTTATGGGGAAACCTGTTAGACCCTTCAGAATGCAGATTCAAGCTTTATTTAAAAGCAAATTGTTCCAGCTCTACAATTCTAACACTGGATCCTGCTAATACTAACTGACTGGGTAACCCGGGCCAAGTCACCCCAATTACTGATTCCTCACCTGTAAAATGAAGAGGTTAGACAGCACGATGTCTAAAATCTCTTTAACTCTATAAATGTCTCCAGTCACTGATGCCTCACTGAGTCATGGAGGTGTGACCCTGGATTCTCAAAAGCTAAGACAGAGAACCCCAGCTCTGCAAGCCTTGCCTACCAAGCCAAGAAGTCTTCAGCTACGGTCCTAGCAATAAAATGTGTGTCCATCATGCCAGGGCAAGCTTCAACCCAGGGAGGCTCATCACCAGAGTGCTGACCCCCAAGGGATGCCCTTGGCCACAGCAGTACACAAAGACCACCTAACAGCAACACGGGGTCTTAACCTGGGGTCCATGAACTTCTTTTCCTATTTCTTTATAACTGTATTTCAATAGAATTGATTTCCTTTGCAATCCTGTATTTTATTTTACACATTTAAAAGCACCACTCTAAGAAGGGATCCACAGGTTTAAAACTGCCAAAGGGGTCTGTGAAAAAAAGAAATAAAGAATAAGAACCCCTAGACTAAAAGTATGGATGTGCTACAATCTGCATCGGCGGCAGATGGACCCAGGATGACAAAATAGCACATCCTTAAAATAATGAGGATGTGCCAGAGGGACTAGAACCTAGACCTCCTGGGTAAGATGCTCTAGGGGCACCTCCAAACAATGAATAAGCATGTATTAATCACCCACAAGGTACCGGGTACTGTGTTAGAGAAAGAGATCAATATAGACAGATCTGGACAAATAGACATAAATACGTGTGTGTGACAAACAGGAGTTTATATGTGACACCTAGAGGAAATAACCTACAAGAGTTTACAGGGGAGATGGGGAGAAAATTTGGAACTCAAAATCTTGTGGAAGTGAATGTTAAAAACTAAGAATCAATTAATTAATTGATTGATTGGTTTTAAAGAAAAGTTTATGAAGGAGAGTGCTTTAGGAACATCATTTGGCAGCTGAGTGGAGAATGGACTGGAGAAGGAGGAAGAAGGGAAAATAAAGAGACTATTGCAACGGTCCAGGTGGAGGAATAAGAGACTGAATGAGGTGGTGGTCACATGAACAGAAAGAAAGGGATGAATGGGAGATGTTTCAGAGGGACGACCGACAAGGTTTGGCAAATGATGGCCTCTCCACCCTAGTCTTCCACAGGTTACTGCGCTTGCAACCTAAGTCTTCACTCATCCCGTTCTTTTTCCCCGTCTGCCTCGGAGGCTGAGGCAATCCCTCCCTCTTCTCTGTTAACAGCTAAGCCCTCCAACTGCCCCGGGTCTCTCCTCTTCCCACAAAGGGGCCTGGACCCATCGATCAAGCCCACTCCCTCTTCCCTACCATGGCTGGTAGGGTCCTTGCCTTCTGTGCTGTACCTGTTAGTTTGCAGGTCCTCTCCCCAGGCTGTGAGGCCCTCGAAGGCAGGGACTGTTCTGGCCTTTCTTTGTGTTCCTAGTGCTTAGCACAGTGCTTGGCACATAGTAGGCACTTAACAAAAGCTTGCTGACTCACCCGGGTCTCTCGATCCTTTTTAGAAAAGGCTTCCCTTGACTCTGCCGGCCACCTGTCTGGAGCTATCATTCTGTCTCTCTTCTCCCTGTGATTTCTATGAAGTCTCTATTTGGTGCACACTCTTTCTTGCCAGCTACTGACTCCTCAGACCTTTATCGTTTAGGCTTTTGGTCCGCTACCACTCAGCTGAAACATCCCCCTCCAAAATCACCAATGACTTCTCGATCACCAAATCTCATGGCTGCTCTCCCTTCTAATTCTCCTTGATGTCTCTTCAATATAGGAGACTGTACCTCTTCCTTCTAGGTGCCTGAAATTCTGTCCCTCCTCCTACCTGCCTCCTGACTTCCCTGGCTTCCTTCAGATCCCAGCTGAAATCCCACCTTCGAGAAGCCTTTCCCGCCCCTGTCAATGCTGACACTTTCCCTCCGCTGGTTATCTCCAAGTTACCCTGCATTTTTCTTGGATGTACATAGTTTTTTGTGTTGTCTTCCCGTTAGATTGTAAGCTCCTTGAGGGCAGGGACTGCCTTTTCCCACTTTTTGTACCCCCAGCACTTAGCACAGTGCCTGGCACATAGTAAGTGCTTGATAAATGTTTATTGACTGACTGCCTTAATTTTATTTATATCCCTATCACTTAGCACAGTGCCTAGCACATAATAAGCCCTTCATAAAAGCTTGTTGATTTAACTTGACTTCATCATCTCTCCTCCCTTTCCCTTCTATAACACTGTTCTCTCCCAGTTCCTTCCCTCTGTCTGGCCTCTACTTCTTGGCCTTCTTTCAATAATTTCTTCCTGGCTCCAAAGTACAGGTATCCCCTAAGGCTCTGTTCTCAGCCTTCTCCTGCTTTCTCTATTCTCTCTCCCTAGATAATCTATTATGTTCCCATGCCCTTAAGCTATTGTTCTTTATCTGTCCTTCTTTTCACATTCAGTTATCACCCCCTAGTTACCTACTGAACATCCCTCACCAAGATATCCTGTCAGCATCTCAAACCCAACATGCCCCAGGCAGAATTCTATATCTGTCCCTCTTCTCACCTTCTCAGTCTCTGTGGATGACAACACCATCCTCCCCATCCTCAGGTTTGAAAAGCCTAGAGCTAACTCAATGGTTCCCCTTCCTCACCCTCTACTTGTTCAATTAAGTCCTGCCAATTCAAGCTTAATTACATTTCTTGTATCTGTATCCTCCATTCTTCCCCAATGGCTACCATGCCACTGGGGGCATCCTTCTCCCATTGCCTTCTACTCCCATTGGCCACCTACCTCCGGCCCTGGGCTAGCCCAGAACCCATCCAGGATCCTCACCTCCCATCACCAGCAGAGGCCTCCTTCCCTCCTGACCTTCCTCCTTCTCCCTCCTACCTACCTATGCCTACCACAGCCCATGCTCAGATGGCATGGATTATATAGAGGTAATTAATTCTATTCCTTCTGACAAGATGGACGACCTGGACTAGACCTTACCAAGCCTTACAACCTTTCCTACCTTTGCACCCTGCAAATTATTGGCATCTGACCTCCTAATGTAATCTAAGGACCCCTGGACTTTGCCAGCTACCTCACTGCTATATTTTTAGGATTTCTGGGCCATCTTATCCTCCCCGAAGCTGAACTTTAAAAAAAAAAAATGTGTTCTCTCCTTCAATTAGAATGTAAGCTCCCTGAAGGCAGGAATTACTACCTTACTTTTTCTATTTATATCCCCAGCTTAGAGCATAGTGCTTGGCCTAGAGTAATCACTTTAAATAAATGTCTTTCCCCTTAATTCAGTATGGTTCAGACCCTTATCACCTCTAATTCTGATCCAATGGGATTTAAATGATCTCTCCCTGACTCTAGTCTCCCCCTTCTCCAAACCACCCTTCACACAACTTGTCAAAAAATCTTCAAAATCCTCAAAATGATTATACCCCTACTATATAAAGCAAAAGTTTTAAAAGTTCAGGGACACCCTGTTTCTTACAGCAAAGCTGTCAAACTCTAAGGTCTGCAAAACTCCTGGTGAAGCAGAACTATATTAAAATGTAATTGGGAAATAAAATTAAATAAAGTATATAAATAAAACTATAATATAACATGGATAATGTTAATTTGTGGTCTTCTAGTCAATATGTGGACAATAGGGATCTGTTTCTATTTAAGTATGACACCACTGTCATATATATATATATATATATATATATATATATATATATATATATATGTGTGTGTGTCTGTATATATATAGAGAGAGAGAAAAACACATACATATACACATACAAAATAATATTATATAAGTTATATATAATACATATATTAAACATGAGTGTGGGTATATGTATGTGTGTAGATATATAGATACAGGATAAAACACATTTTTCCTAGCATCTAAAATTCTCCACCACGTAGAAAGTCCAACGTCCTTTTCCAGGCTTATTACACTCTATGTTCCTTTCCAACTGGACAGCTCACTGTCCCTGTCCCCTGCCCTCCCCCACCTCCATGCATTTGAGCCGGCTGCACCCTTTGTCTGGAGTGCCTTCTCTGGACATCTTGACAAACTGTCACAGCCCAGCTCAGGGGCCAGCACCCTCAGGAACTCTTCTCTAAGGGAACGTATGGAAAGCAATCCCTCTCACCTTTTTACAATGACTTCCTTAAAGGCTATCATATTCCATCTTGGATCATATTCATTTATAGACAAGTCTCATTCCCTCCATTAGACTGTAAGATCCTTGAGGGCAGGGACTGTGTCAGTTTTCACCTTTACTACCTCTACCACTTTGTATATAATAGGCACCTGAATAAATTACTGCTGAAATGAATTTAATTTGGATGCCATCTTATCTGTGTTTTCACCACCTCTTGGTGCTCTGGGCAACTCTCGAAGACTAGAAATTCCAGAGAAAGTGCCAACCTGCACTGGTGGAGAGAGTTTCATCATCTGAGAATTGCCTATAGCAATGAGAAGTGCAGGTCCACTCCCCACCCCTGTCCTGTATGCACCCAATTCAGCTCTTAATACAGTGATGAGCAGGAAATAAGCAGTAAATACTGGCACGCACAAACCTACCTGTAAAACTCATATACTTTTGGCTGTTGGAAGTTTTCTTGGAGTTGTAGAATTCCAACACGTCGAGCACAGCCTGAGGGTTTTTCTTCTGCTCAGATTTGGTGATGTTGGACGTCTGCAACAGGCGAGCCCACTGTTCTGGCATCCCCTAAAAGAGAGGTTGGCAGGATTGGCTGATTCATTTTAACTGTACCTTTCTGTTACACAGGAAGGAGAAGGAATTCATTGGTAAGTGGCAGCAGTGGGCTTGGTTTGTTTTTTTTTTTTAAAGAACAGCAATAAAACTTTTTTTTTAAAAGAGAGAGTGAAAGGCTGTCAGAGTTATCATAGCCACTAGTATATTTTTCAAGCCATCTTCTTCCCTCCCTAGAAGAAGGGTGACCAGATGGGAGGGGACCAAAGACAATGCTGAATGCTTAGCCTAGAGAAAGTGAGATAGATCCCTCCAAGTATTTTATGGGCTGACACGTGGAAACTGGATTTGACCGATTTGCCTGAGGAGAAAAGGCCTAGGTGGACGTTACCAGGAGCAAAGATGTATGCTTGGTTAACACTTATTAGCTATGTGACTCTGGGCAAGTCACTTAACCCCAACTGCCTCACCAAAAAAAAAAAAGAGTATGCTTGATAGAAGGAAAAACTTTCTAACAATCAGTGCTGTCCCGCAATGGAATAACGTACACCAGGACAGGACCAAATTTCCCTCCAAAACTACCTCCAATTTGCCTTGTATAACGATAGTTATTTGCATGTTGTTTCCCTAGCTATAATGTATGAACCTTGCGGGCAGAGACTGTCTTTACTTTTCTCTCACTCCCCAGTGCTTTAGATAGTGCCTGGCACACAGTAAGAACTCAATAAATGCTTGTTGATTTATTGGACTTGAGTTAGAAAAATATGGTTCAAGTCCTGGGTCTGACACTTACTAGCTGTGGACAAGTCACTTCACTTTGCCAGGTCTTAGCTGCCTCATTTGTGTAACAACAGTAGCTAACATTTTTATACAGCACTGTGCCAAGCACTTTACAATTATTATCTCATTTGATCCTCATAACAACCCTGGGAAATAGGTGCTATTATCATTCCCATTTTACAGATGAGGAAACTGAGGCAGACAGAGGTTAAGTGACTTGCCCAGGGTCACACGACTAGTAAGTAGATTTGAACTCAAGTCTTCTTGACTCCTGAGCAGTGTTCTGTGCACTAAGGTACCACCTAGCTAAGCACTACCCATTCTACCTAACTTACCAAAATCATCATACCTGTCAAAAATAGGATGAGGAGTTTAGTGAACCTTAAAGGACTTGAGAAAAATGCATATAATGGAAAGAGCATTGGACTTCAGAGGACCTGGGTTCAAATCCCAGCTCTGGACCTTACTACTTTATGTGACCCTGGACAAGGCATATGATGTTTCTGGGTCCTCAGTTTCCTAATTAGTAAAACGAAGGAGCTGGACAAGATGATTTCTAGAGTTCCTTCCAAGCTCTGAACTGATGACCCTGTAAGCCATCCTCACCTAGGCACTGAGTTCATTCTCTGCCTAGAAATGTTAGAATACGACCATTTCTGGGAGATGTAGAAAGAGCTGCTGCTCAGGCACACACTATGACTGAGGACCCCTGTGAGGCCCCTTCCAACTCTGACATTCGAGGGCTCCAGGCTCCCACAACTCCTGGTGTATGGCTCTGGGTCCTGCTGGGTCTAGCTCAGGTATTTTCTTCACTTTAGGGCCGACAGTCCCTTGAGACATAAGGTCCATTGCTGCTACTGTTTGGTCATTTCAGTCATGTCTAACTCTTTGTGACCCCATTTTGGGGATTTCTTGTTAAGGATAGTAGAGTGGGTTTGCTATTTCCTTCTCCAGCTCATTTTACAGGTGAGCAAACTGAGGCAAACAGGATTAAGTGACTTGCCTGGGGTCACACAGCCAGCAAGTATCTGAGGCCAGATTTGAACTCATGAATATGTATCTTCCTGATTCCAAGCCCAATGTTCTAACCCCTGTGCAACCCGGCTGCCCTAAGGGACCCAGAGGAAGCCACAATTACCTCTCCAGCCTAAGATCCGGCCATATCCAGAATTATCCAACGTCATCTCACATGCCTCCCAACATGCATTCTACCCTGATCATCAAAACTGATCACCCCCCCCGTACACACACACAACACACACACACACACACACACACACAGAGCCCAAACCCTGGTCCTTAGTTCACATAATTGCCCTTTCCCCATCCCTGGAATTTCTGACAGTAGGTCAGCCCTACCCTTTGAAGCCAACTTCAATGAAACCGTTCCTTTTCCACTCAGCTCTCTCTCTGACCATTACAATCCACGTCCTTCTTTCCAGAGTCTGAGCTCCTGCTGCATTTAGAAGCTGGACCTCCCTTAATTATTGCCTTGAATCTACAATATGAAAGGCAATTCTGCGGAAAGCAAAGACCACTGAGGCATGGAATCAAAAGGTCTGAGTTTCATATCTCCACTGATCATTGATAAGAACATGCTCTGTAAATTATTAAAATATGAGCTAACTTTCTGTTGTTGTTTTGGTGAATCTGATTCCCTGGTTACAGGAGGGTGAGCCAAAAACCTCTCTATGCTTCAATTCTGGTTATTGAAAGCATTTCTACTTCATTCATGGAGGGACCATCCCTGAATCAGTCTCTGAGTTCGATGAGACCTCAAGAGGGATCATCTTGAGTACAGGCATGCACACGCACACACACATACACACAACCCCTTCTTTTTTTGCTGTTGAGTCATGTCCAACTCTTCATGACCCCTTTTTGGGGTTTTCTTGGTAAAAAGACACTGGACTGATTTGCCATTTCCTTCTTTAGTTCATTTTACAGATGAAGAAACTGAGGCCAACATGGCTAAGTGGCTTACCCAGGGTCACACAGCTAAGAAGTGTCTGAGGCTGGGATCTGAAGCCTAGAAGATAAGCCTTCTTGATTCCAAGCCCAGTGCCCTACTGAGCTGTCCCAAAGCCCTCTCTAACTAAAGTAAGAATACCTCCTCTAAAACCAATTGGCAAAATGTTGTAAAGGAAGAAACTGAGGCACACCTCAAATTCCACAAGACAACAGAGAGTGTGCATCCTTCCATTAAATCCCTAATAAGTCCTGTGCCTAGCACAGAGTAGGTACTTGATAAATGCTCTCTTGGTCTCTCTCCCTCTCCTCTTTCTATTTAAAGGCATCCAATAAAAGGAAGCCTGCTGTACTTTTATAAAGAAAGGTTTTTTCTGGGCTCAAGGCCAAAACTGGCCATAAGGAACCTTGTACCCATTGCTCCTATTTCTGTCCTCTGAGGCCAGGCAGAACACATGTCTAATCAGTCTTCCACATGACAGTCCTAAAAATACTTGAAGATGGCAACTCTGCCTCTACCTTTTTCTTTGTTCACTGAGCAGCTCAGCTCAGTTTGATAGAAAAGAATGTTGAACTGGAAGTCACGAAAGCTAGCTTGCAGTTCTGGTTCTAATCATTCATTTGCTGAGCTACCTTCGATGAATCACTTGCCCTCTCTGATGCTCGTTTCCATATCTATAAAATGAGGGCACTATAATAATTATTATTATTATTATTATTATTATTATTATTATTATTATTATTCTTCTTTTCTTCTTCTTCTTCTTCTTCTTCTTCTCTTCTTCTTCTTCTTCTTCTTCTTCTTCTTCTTCTTCTTCTTCTTCTTCTCCTTCTTCCTTCTCCTTCTCCTTCTCTTCTGTCAATTGTGACTCACCCAGTGTCACACAGATAGTAAGTGTCTTAGGTCACATTTGAACTCAGGTCTTCCTGACTCCAGGGCCAGGGCTCTATTCCCTGCACTACCCAGCTGCCATATAATAAATTTTTTCTAAAGCCTCTTACACATTCATTCAGTGCTCCAATGACTTTCGAAGCTCTCACATTCTGCTTTTCACAGCACTTTCAAGCCCTGTCACTCTCATCAACATCTCTATTTCCTCCCTACTGGAAAATGGGACTCTGTGGGGCAGCTAGGTGGCGAAGTACACAGAGCACCAGCCCCTGGAGTCAGGAGGACCTGAGTTCAAATCCGGCCTCAGACACATAACACTCACTAACTGTGTGACTGTGGGCAAGTCACTTAATCCCAATTGCCTCAACAAAAAAAAAAACCAAAAACATGAAAATGGGATTCTGCCCCAACAGGCCAGCTTTCACTTTACCTTGCTTCATTCCAGGTCTCCTGGCCAAGCCATCAGGCATGCCTATTCAGCCTCTTTCTACCTCCCCTTTCTGGGATGTCTTCTCCCATTAGAATGAAAGCTCCTTGAGCACAGGAACTGCCTAGAATGCTTTTATTTGTCCCCCCAGCATCTGGTATATAGTAAGTGCTTAATAAATGCTTCTCTCTCTCTCTCTCTCTCTCTCTCTTCTCAGGTCTCTTTCAGCTCTGATATTTTAAATCCCTTTCAGGCAGCTAGATGGCTCAACGGATAGAGCGCTGGGCCTGGAATCAAGAAGACCTGAGTTCAAATCCAGCCTCAGACACTTAGTAGCTCTGTGACCCTGGGCAAGTCACTTCACCTCTGTTTATCTTAATCCACTGGAGAAGGAAACGGCAAACCACTCCAGTGTCTTTGTCAAGAAAACCCCATGGACAGTATTGGCGTGCTATGGTATGTAGGGTCACAAAGAGTCAGACGTGACTGAATGATATGAAGCGTCCTCTCTCTCAACTCTGATGTTCTGTTTTCCCATTTCTAGGGCCACAGATCTAGAATACCTCAAAGGTCATCCCATCCGATCCTTAGGCCTACAAAGATTAAATCACTTGCCCAAAATCACATCAGCGGCCAAGCTAGGATTCAAAGCCAAAATTCTGGGCCCTTTCCACTGCACCCCACTTCCAGCTCTGATTTCATGAGTCTACACTCACTCCTGACTTCACAGTGCCCATTCTGAACAAAAGCTATGACTCTTGGGGTTCCCCGTATAGACACAGGAGACAGCGCTGAAGGCGTCACGACCCCTCCCTCCCTACTGTTCATCGTTTAGAAATGGCTTTTCACACTAAACCCCCTAAATGAGGTTGTAGAAATTTGCCTCCTTCTGCCAAAAGCTGATGCTTAAAAAAAAAAAATTTAACTGAGGATCCCAGTGGAAGAAACCCCCTTTAACCTAAGTTGAGCTGAATCCCAGTTCCCCATCAGGAAATGTTGGTGACGGTGCTTTGATAGAAGGTAGATACCCCTCCTGTACACACACGCACGCACATACACACAGGCACACACCACATCCAGTGCCTGGGCTCATGTAATTATCCTTTCCCCATCTCTGGAATGTCTGACCATCACAGTGAAAACATGGCAGTTACTGATCATCCACCGGGGAGAAGTGGCCAGTTGGCCTTCAGGAAGTCCACGGAGCCTCAGAAAGGGCCATTTTTACTCACTTTGGTCCCCATGGTTCAGAAGAAAGAACCCTTTATTGAGAATCAGGAAACCTTGTTTCAAATCCTGGTTCTATTACTGATTGCCCGTGTGACCTTACCTATACCCCCTGTGAGCCTCAGTCTCCCCCCCTATAAAGTGAAGGGGTTGGATTGGATGACCTCTGAGGTCCTTTTCCAGATCTAAATCTAAGAGCTTGGGAACCTAGTTCTCCTGCCACATACCCCTAACATAGAGGATTCTGGCATCCACTGTACCAGAAGATTCATATCGGTACTAGCTGGCATCATTATTGTTGTGGTTGTTACTATTGTAAGTGTTAGCTATCTAATATTATTATCATTGTTGTTATTCTAGACCTGCAATTTCTCCAACATAGGGGAACTCCCATTATTAAGAAACTAATGCACATTGGCAACTCTTCTATCCTGTATGTGGCCTTTTACATATGTGTGTGTGTACACACACACACACACACACACACACCCGCGTGCGCACGCGTCTACCTGTCTCCTCCTTCAGATTATAAGGTCCTTGAGGGCAAATACTACCTGTTGCCTCTTTTTGTATTCCTAGTACTTAACACAGTTCTTGGAACATAGTAAATGTTTAATGATTGATGGATGTTATAATGTTTAGTCTTAGAAAGTTCCTAAGAGGAAAAGCAGTTTGTCCAGCATCACCAAGCTAATCCGTGCCAGAGGCAAGACTTGAACCCAGGTCTTCCTAATCCAAACCCAAGCTTGTATACAGTGGAACAAGTTGCTTCTTATGTACATGGTGCTTTATGTTTACAAAAAAAAAAATAATAATAATAGCGATTATTATCATATTTACGTAGCACCTACTATGTGTCAGGCACCTACAAATATCTCATTCAATTCTCACCACAATCCTGGAAGGCAGGTACTATTATGAGTCACGTTTCACAGACGAGGCAAACAGAGTTTATAACATACTTTCATACCCCCCTCATGTCATGGAAATCTCAAAACAGTCCAAAGGGAGAGGTATATCAAGACATAAGAAAACGGAACACAGACGAGTAAGATGACTTGTTTAATGCCGTGGCAGAACTGGGACTCCAACCTGGGTTTTCTGACCCCAAATCCAACGCTCTTTCCGCCGTACCACAGGTCCATGATTTTTCTCAGCTCCACATCTCTCCGCTATAGATCAGTTCTATTGTGATCTCAGGCAGTTGGTTCTTTTTTGGAGGTGGGAGGAAAGTAAGGGAGGTGTCACCTCAAGAGCGGCAGCTAGTAACAGAATCACAGAGTCTCTGACTTGGAAGAGACCTCAGAGTCAGAGGCTGTCTAGAAAACTCCCCAAGATGGGAGGACTCATGAGCCCAGGGCAGCCCATTTTACTTCTGTGCCATGTAAGTGTTAATGAGCTTTCCTGCTTAGATTAGCCCTAAATCTGCCTCTCTACATTTCTACCGGTTATTCCTTGTTCTGCCTCCTGGGGCTGAGCAGAGCAAATTGAAGCCTTCTTCCACATGAGAAATTGGGCTACGAGGTAAAGACACTGGGTAGGGGCCAATACCCAACATGCATACAGAAGAGGTGGGTTTACACAAGGACAAAGCAGAAAAGGGGACTTAGGGTCCCTCCTTGGGACTCACCGTGAACTCTCCAGTAACAGCATCAAATCCAACGTGAATCGTGTGTTCAAAATCAGAAGGAAGTGAAATCTCGGGCCGTTCCTTCTCCTTCTTTTTATTGGCTGCAAGAGGAAAAGGAGAAAGGTAATGAACGATATTGACATTATCAAGTGAGCCAATGTTTATAATACATACCACAAAGATGAATCAGATGCAATCCCTGCCCTCAGGCAACTTCTAGTCTAGTAGAGGAGTAAGACATAGAGACATATAATGGATATGATGGACATGGAATAAGAAAGTTCAGGTTGAAAGGTTCTGCTGCTAACTACCTGCATTATCTTGGACACGTCCCTTCACTATTCTAGGCCTCAGTTTCCTCCTCTGACAGATAAGGAGTATGGGAGAGATGACTTTCCACATCTAATCATTTGAATTACAATACAAGGTGAAATGTGACAAGCTCAGTAAGAGAGGGAGAATGTAGTACTATGAGTATAGAGAAAAGAGACGTCATTTCCAACTTAGGTGAGAGAAATCAAGGAAGACTTCCTGAAGGAGGTAACAAGATTTTAGGAGCTGGTAAGATTTGGGATAATGGATGTAGATGGGGGAAGGGAGACATTCTGGGCATAGAGAATAATGTAAGAGCAAAGACACAGGGATCAAAAAGGAAACACAGAGAGTAAAGACACAGAGGCCAGAAAACAGGGGCTACATTCAAAGAAGGGCTAGGAGACCCATTGCCTGGAGAGGTAGCACTGAATGACAAGATGAGGAAAAAAGGTAAGAGCCAGATTTGGGGGACTTTGAATACCAAGACCATAGATTTACAGCTGTAAAGGACTATTCAGAGGTTATAGGATCTAACCCATTCATTTTACAGATGAGGAAACTGAGGCCCAAAGAGTCCAGTGACTAGCCCATGGTCACACAGTTATTAAGAGGCAGAGCCCAAGCTAAAAGCACTGTTCTCTGACTCCAAAGCCACTGTTTGTACCACGCCGAGCAGGAGTTTAGATTTCCTGCTCCCTGAAAACTGAGTAATCAAAGACATGTTTTGGGGAAGAAAGAAAAAAAGAAGTGCACCTACCACGTGCAAGGCCCTGTGTAAAGTGCTTTACAATTATTATCTGATTTGACCCTACCTCACATCACCCTTGGGAAGTAGGTGATATTACTATCCCCATTTTACAGATGAGGAAACTGAGGCAGACAAAGGCTAACCTTAGCTTAAACCAGTTAGTAGATCCAGGAAACAAACTCATGTCCTTTGACTTCAAATCCAATGTTCTTTCTGCAACACCCTACTGCTTTTGGATCTGGTCGTCTTGGGGAAGGACATAATAAAACAGCTGAACAATCACAGTTGTGGATAGTGGCAAAGAGTTCTCTTCTCTCTAGGTCTGTTTTTCATTGGTTAAAGACCTAGATTGGGAACTTTGAGTTGGACCCTTTGTGTAAGTACTGGTCAGAGATGGGAAGAAGGGCGAGGAGAAGATCTTCATCTGGGGTTCATTAACTCATTAATTTTTTGGTATTTTGTAGTTTAATATCATCAGTTCCCTTTGTCATCTTCAGTATCTTAATTTATGCATTTCAAAACCTTATTTTGAGAATTGGGCACCTGGTAGCCTAGTGGGTAGAACACTGGGCCTGGAATCAGAAGACCCAAATTCAAATCCAGCCTCGCTTGCTAGCTCTGTGACTCTGGGCAAGTCACTTAACTTGTCTGCCTCCGTTTCCTCAATTGTAAAATGGGGATAATAATAGCCCCTACTTCCCAGAGTTGTTTTGAGGCTCAAATGAGATATACTTGTAACATGCTTAACACCGTGCCTGGCACATAGCAGGTGTTATATAAATGCTAGCTATCATTATTATTATTATTATTATTATTATTATTATTAAGTCCCTCCCCTCCCATCCCCAGGCCTCAGATCCTCCTGTATAAAATAGAGGCTTTGGACTAGAATGGCTTCTAAGGTCCCTTCTAACTCCAAATCCTCTGGTTATATACTGTGGGGAATGCCAGACCTTCTTCCTAGCCTGTTTCCTGGGCCCAGGCCCAAGGCCCTTCTCATCTCTGGCCCGTGGGACGCAGGAAGGGCCAGGGACATGCAACTGATGTCATTTGTCCTAGTCACACTGCGGGATCCTGGCAGCCACTCGTCCCCCTGAGTTCTCTTTTCTCTAAGCAGCAAGAGAGATTCTCAGAGCAGAAAGAGAAAAATGAAAGGAATATCATCCCATCCCCAAAATGAACAACCTGCCTTTCTAAAGGCAACGGTCACTAATTAATTAATGTGATTAACGTGTAAACACTCATCATCTACACGCTGGAAAGTTAGGCCGCAAAGACAGACACCGAGAGGGGAAGCATGACATCCAATATTTTGTCACAGTATCTGCTGAGGAGAAATAATTAGCTTTGATCCTCTTGGCTGATTTTTTAAAGAGCAAGGTGGAGTGGTGGATACGTGGCAGACCTTGGAATCAGGAAGTCCCACCCCTGACACATACTGGCTGGGTGACCTAGGCAGGGAGAATCACCTAACTGCTCTCTGCCTCAGTTTCCTCTTCTGTAAAACAAGGGGGTTGGACTTGACCGTCTCTAAAGTCCTTTACATTTCTAATTTTAAAAAAAGACCCAAGTCCTGAGCATGACACATACTGACTGCTGGGTGACCTGGAGCACACTCTAAGGCCGAAAAATTGTGGAAAGTATCCATCAACATTGGCAGAAGGCCTTTCCTCATCAGGAACTCCCTAGACCAGTGATGCCCCATGTCCACTCCAAAACAAAAGGAAAGAGACACCTGGTGGAATTTGTGAACTGTAGGTGTCATCGACAACCTGCTGATTCTCTTTGCTCCTTTTCACCGACTTCCACTTACATGGCACCTTCCGGTTGGCGAAACACTTTACATCCACCATCACATGTGATTCTCCCAATGACCCTGTGTGCGGGTGGGGTGGGGGGAGTAATGTTGTTGTTGTCGAGTCGTTTCAGTCATGTCTGACTCTCCATGACCCCAGTTAGGGGTTTTCTGGGCAAATATACTGAAGCAGTTTTGCCATTTCCTTCTCTTTCTCTCTCTCATAATATATATACATATATTTAAAAAATCACAAATATATACATGTACACATATACACACATATATGCACACACACACACACACACACACACACACACACACACACACACAGAGTATATCATTATCCAATTTTACAAATGAGGAAACTAAGGTCCGAACAGCAGATGTGCACGGCCACAGAGCTATGTGGCAGGGCTAAAGGCTTCCACTATCTTGGCTGACCTCCTCCAGACACTATAGAGCAGAGGTGTCAAATATCACAACACTGCCTAGAGCTGTCCTAACTGGATTAAAATGTAATTGGGAAATGTTTAACAAAATAAATAAAAATAATATTCCATTTAAAAAACTACATCCATAAACGGCCCACAAGGATCCATATGTACAGATTGGTGGCCCCTGTTTCTATTTGAGTTTGATACCACTGGTCTACAGTTTATTTATGTTGCCTCATCTGTAAAATGGGAATAATAACACCTTCCTCACAGGGATATTATGAGGCTCAAATGAGATCAATATAGAAAGTACTACTATGCAGACCTAAAAGGACCTACATAAATGCTAGCTATTATTAATGTCTCTCCTAAAATGAGGTGACCAGAATGGAACCCAATATTCTAAACGTTATACAAGAAGAACTATCACCTACTTACTTCTAGACACTAGGATTCTTTTAAGGCCACCTTAATGACAGAGGGTTGCCATCTCACAATGTTCACTTAAACTAACTTTATAATACACTAAGACCCCAGATCTTTTTCAAACTAACAACCGTTTCCTTTACATTACAATTGCTTTGCATTCCTCATCTTGTACTTGGGAAAGTGATTTTTTTTTAACCCAAACGTAAGATTTTATATTTGTCTCTATTAAATGTATTAGACTCAGGCTATTGTTCTAACCTGTAATGATTTTTTTTTTGGACCCTATACGACACCCAGTGTTAGCTATCCCTCTCAGCTTGGTGGCAGCTGTAAGCTTTTAGAACAAAGATTTTCCCAATCTCCCTAATCTCAGTACCTTCCCTTTGAGATTATCTCGAATTTATCATGGACATATATTGTTTGAACATAGTTCTGTATATGTTATCTCCCCTACATTAGACTGTGAGCTCCTTGGGAGCAGAGACTGACTTTCCCTCTCTTTGTATCCCAAGTGCTCAGCTCAGTGCCTGACACATAGTAGGAGCTTAATAAATGTTTAATGATCAAGTGAGATATGACAAACATAGCATTTATACATCTGTCCAAATCATTGATAGAAAAGTGCACAGGGCCAGGGCTAGACCTTCTCAGGGTGTCCCATCGAAGACTCTCTCCAAACTTCACAGAACTTTTGTTATTCAGTCATTTCCAACTCTTTGGGATTCCATTTGAGGCTTTCTTGGCAGAGATACTGGAGTGGTTTGCCATTTTCTTTTCCAGTTCACTTTACAGATGAGGAAACTGAGGCAAATAGGGTTAAGCAACTTGCCTAGGATCACATAGCCAGGAAGTGTCTGAGGCCAGATTTGAACTCAGGAAGATGAGTCTTCTGACTCTAGGCCAGGCACTCTTATCCACTGCACCATGCAGCTGCCGTCTGCATAGAACACTTACTAACAATTCCTTGGGTCTTACCATTTAATTAGTTCCAAATCCTCCTGACTATATTATCACTGAGTCCATATTTCTCCAACTTCTTCACAAAAATACTATGAGAGTCGCTATCCAATGCTTTGCTGAAATCTAAATAAATTCTAACTACAGTAAGCCCCCAATCTACCAGCCTGGTAAAAGATGCAAGCCTCACAATGCTTGTTTTCAATCAGGTGTCTGTACCTTTCAAGCCCTCTGGACACTATACAGAAAATAATACAGGGTGACTTTGCCCTAACATGACCTAAATTCTCAGGCCATTGCACACACTATTTATTACCTATGGCTAGAATGCCTTCCCACCTGATCTCTGGTTGGTGAACTGTGATCAACCTAAAAATCCCAACTGGAATACTACCTCTTCCAAGAAGTTTTCCTGATTTT